CCCGCTGCAGGTTCCCCTCGTCGCTGTGTGTTGGGCTAGGCCAGGTGAGTAGCGGCGCGGGGGGCGGGCGGGCCGGCCGGCCGGCCGCGGGCTGGCGTCGTGACTGCCTCTGCTCGGCTTGCAGATGCTGGCCACCGTGCTCGTGCTGGGGCTGGGCAAGGCGCTCAGGGTGCTCAAGTTCCCGGACTTGGACAGGAACATACCTCGGAAGGTGAGGGGCGCGCAGGGCTGGGGGGTCCTCAAAATCAAAGATGTGCATGCGCTAGGGAGTGGGGGAGGCTGGGGTGGAGGAAGAGCAGGTAAGCAAAGTGCGAAGGCAGGGCGCTTTCTAGTTTGGAAAAAAAAAAGAAGGGAAAGCAGAGCGTAGTCCTCGCCCTGGTCGCCTGCAGGGCAGGTTTCTGCTCCGGGCACCGTTTAGATCTGGTTCTTGACGCAGGTATCTCTGTTGTCTTGCAGGCAGAGGATCCGCTTGTAGCCAGAGGTCTTCCCCTGGATCCTTTGCAAAGTGTTGCCTAAGGTCCCCGCAAGCAAAAATGCGTGCATGTTGCCATTTGGATTTGAAACCTGGGCTGCGCAAATATTTTTTTGGGCTGTGCAGATGTGGGACGGAAAATTTTCTAGCGCTTGATTTTTTTTATTTTTTTTTCCTTGGGAAATTTTCCATTTCTAAAAATGCATTGTTTCATAAAATTCATTAGTAATATTAGGCAAGCTTGGCAGTTTTAAAGTTGTAATGAAAGCTTTTCTGGTGATTATCCCTAGGAAGTGTGAGAGAGAGTACAGGTATGTTTTAGTGATTTGTAAACAGGAGGGTAAATATGCTCCTATAATAATCCAAACCAAAAATCAAGTTCTGAATTCACTTCATTGGCTGTGCGGGTCGAAGCACAGTTCTTTGGGGGTGCTAAAATGAGTGTGTCAACAGTTTTCAGTGCCTTCGTTTTTTTCCTTAAGTTTAAACAAGCAATGTAAGGGAAGTACATTGCTATTGTGTATTGTCTTTACATTTTTACAAGTATTCCCATAAAAATAATTTCTTTCCACATACAGCTTTGGATTTGTTTGACTATGACATTTAAACCACATTAAGTGTGCTGTATTTAATTTTTTTCCTAATCAAATATTTCAGTTCAAGTACTTGTGGCTATTGGGACATAAAATTAACATGGAGGTACTTTTTCAGTTTTGTATATGAAATATAAGTCAAATAAACATGCTAAATCAGATCTATTTAGGGCATTGGAAAATTTTCCCATTCAAAATTTCCGGAAAACCCACATCTCTGTTTGCTTGTCACCCTTCCATAGGACTGATCCCAGATGTAAAAGATCTTCTCATGATGTCAGTCAGGACTCGTGGTAGAGGTTATCCCTTGTATTAGATCAGCGGTTCTGAACTGGGAGTACATGTACCCCCAGGGGGTACATGAAGCCTCATCGGGGTATGTGAGATATTTCATACATTGTCTAACGCAGATCAAAGGGCCTAAAAAATTAATTTCCTGTTGAAAGGAGGTATGTGAAGTCTCACTCTGAGACCAAGGGGTACATTGACTGAAAAAGGTTCAGAACCGCTGTATTAGATCAACTAGATGTTTGCAAAAAAAATTCTTTAATTACAAGCTTGTTTGCAAAAATCTAGCTGGTCTAATAAAAGAGAGCACCTCTACCACGAATCCTGATCGCTTTTGCCTCTCTAGACAAATACGGTTACAACCTGGATCTCGTGAAGTCAGCATTTTATTACATATTCCCCGAAGTCTGAGTTGTGTGGGAGAGGGTCCTGGCTAGGGATGGAAAGATTTCTGATCATGTAACCCTGTTACTGTTTGAGCGGGTAGTTTTCTAGCTGCTTTTTCTTGTTCATTGAGTGTTATCCTTCTTATAATTTTCTAGACGTTTCCACTACCTCTTCTATATTTTGGGAACCAAATCACAGGACTGTTCAGCACAAAGAAACTGAAGTATGGATAACTTTTATCTATTGGGTTATAATGCTTATCTTACGATAGTATCATGTATGAACAAATTAATGTGATATTTCTGTGTGTGTTAATTTTTGGCAGTATAGGGGAATGGAGGTTCAGAACTATTATTTGAAACCTAATCATTAAGGTTCAGTTTTACTCTGATTTTTGTTTTTACGTTGGCAGATGCATGGGTGTGCAGATCCTTTCAAGGGTGATAGTTACTTTAAGTGTATCAGGTATCTGAAGCCTCTCGTTTGACCCGGGTTGTTGGTCAGGGCTGTGAGTTAGTGTGGTGGGAGTGAGCTTGAAGCTGCTGTTTCTTTGTGACCTGCCATGATCCCCTACTAAGCAGCACCAGGGAGAGTCTCTAAAAACCTTCCCTCTAATCACTGGCTGTACATCGCTGTTGTGAACAAGGTTGAAAGGAAGGGTGGAGATTGGGATGGGGGACACATGTGGTCCTTGCCTGATGCTCTTGTTCCAGGCAAGATCTGAAAAATGTCCTGGGTAAGTATTTAAAAATCATAAAATAATGCTTTCCAGGCAGACATTATTTTTGTTAGTGCTTCCAGTGACACAGTGCATCTTCGAGGATTCTTTATTTTTTTAATACTTGACCAGTATTTGGGAAGTGGAGAAGAGGATAGAAGTGTCTTAAATTATGCATGTAGTTGGGGGTTCAGGATGGTGGTATATCTCATCCCATCAGGTATGATGTTATTTTGAGGGAGTGTAGGGTGGAGACTCGCAGTAATCTACATGGCTCGTCATGGACTGCTGTTTGTATTGTATTGCACCTTGATTATATCTATTACATTGAATGAAGTTGGATATACAGTTAGTTGAATCAGAGTTTGCTATTTTGGGGGCGCATCTACACGTTCATTAATGCACCCTAGTTATTATGCATTAAGTTTAGTACTTTGTTAACCAATTCAGTGCTCAGTAACTCACTACTGTGCAGAAGTGCCAGTGCATGTTTGTTTGTTTTTAACACTTACCTTACCATAGCCTAATAATAACACTGCATAGTAATGTATTGGCATGGTTGACCGGCAAACCACTGCGCAGTAAACTTCTTGTGTAGATGCATCCTGGATTTCACAGATTTGTGTGACCATAACCTTATGATGGCAAATTAAGCTTTTGAAATAACTTGTACTATATAAAACTTACGGGAGATGGAGACTTCCTCCTGTGAAAAGTCCTTGGTAAAGTTTAAACCTTTTGGCTTATCAAGTTAATGCAATTTCCAGGAGGAAAGTCATCAAATCACTATTACAATGATAGCCATGTGTGGCTCTATTTGTAGTCTGTATCTCAGTTCTTCTAAAATAACTGTTGTTGTTTCAAAGTGTTGCTGTGAGGGTGAACTTCAAGTGTCGAGTAACATGCCTGTGTATTTGGAGGGGAAAAATGCTACATTGTTTTTAATCTTACTCCCCTTTTTTGCAGCTTGCCAATGTTTACAGTTTTGAGAAGGTTTTCTATTTTGTTTACAATGTTTGCTGAAGGAATTTTACTCAAGTAAGTTCCATTTCCAAGATTATCGGTTGACCTTGGAGACTGTTTATATTAATACAAAAACTAAGATAGGAATAAGGGCATGCAATATTTTTGTAAGCCTTTGTGTATAGAAGATGAGTGCAGTCAATTATAGTGGCAGGTCAATGTGACTTCAGAAATGTAGGTGTGAGAGAGAGAATAAGATTAATACAATATTTTATTCTGTAATAAGAATGATTTGGAGCTGAATGGGTCCCTTGCCTCTGCTTTTTTTTAATAAAAACTATGTCAAATTTATACATTTCAATACATACTAATCAAAGTATAGCTCTTTTATAGTAATTGTGGCTCTTATACTAATGTACAAGGGACTTTATATTATATGGCTGTTCCTTATAATTAAGATGACTCCATGTACAGATTGAGTCCATATGTCATGTAGATAGTTAATAGACAGTTAATTTGGCAGTGGGGGTGTACAGTGTTTTCCTGCCTGGATGACATCAGGACTCTAACTTAATTGTCTCTGTGGCACTGGTCATGCGTAGCATAGGCAGGACCACTGCAACTTGGTTTTCCATTTCTTCTCATTGAAGTGGGTGACTTGATATTCCAGAGTGACTTTAACTACCTGTTACAGGCACTACCCAGTGCACCTTTGTTACTGTGCTGTCATGTAATACTTCTTTTTGGAAGTACTAAATGACGGCACAGTAACATCCTATATTGCATTGTGTACATTGTACAGGGTTACTTTTAGTTGTTAAATCGCCATAGCAATGTGCTACAAGGGAATGTGTGGCTATGGTGATGTAGCATTGTGTATATAGACACTCCCAATATTAACTAGTGCTTCCTCTGCCTCTGGCATGTCACTTGTGTGAAGACTTGTCAGTGTTTGTGTCTAAGTGCCACACCACTGTGACATTATCTTACTGACAGGGGTCAGACTTGAGAGGTGGGCATTCTGATTCTCTGCTAGTGGGCTAGCTCAGTACAGAGTGGACATATTAAAGCTCATTAGAAAGCTACATCCCATTAATCCTAATAAAAAATGAAATATGCTTTTGTAGGGTTTTGCCTCTTTGATATTTTTGCGCTAGGTTTTTGAAGTGTGAATTGACCAAAACCTTTCCCATGATGATAAATACTGCCTAGAGATGATGGTGATTATCATTGATAATAATAATAATATTTTTGAAATCTGAATTGCTTAGGAGTGATAGCTGAGTTCTTTCTCTCTTTTTTTATCTTTACAGAAAGAAATTTTCTTGGGGCATTCAGATGACAGTATTTGCAATGATAATTGGTGCGTTTGTAGCTGCTAGGTAAGATTTCAAGTTACTAGCTCTTCTATTTTGTTTAAACAACTAACTTGTCAAAGACATTGCTGCAACACATCACTAACAAACATACTTGGTATAGGCTAACAAAGTTGATCAGGAATCATAATGTAGTAATTTTAAGGTAGCTGTTAAATCCTGGCTGCTTGCTGTGAAATATGAAAACTGTAAACTTGTTTCAATTCGGCTGTAGTGTTTTTGTTCCACTCTTTGGGATAGTTCTGGTAAAAACTTGAATGTAGATAAACCAAGCCTTATTTCCATTTTATACTTGAAAGATGTGTCAATATTGGTTAGAAATATGAGTCACTGAAAAAAAGCCCTAACGTGTATCCAGGTATAAAAGTACCACATACTAGTATAGCAGATTGCCTTTCATGTATGTAGAGAAGTAAAGTGGATAGAAAAGCATTCTTACTTATATAATCAAATCCATATTAGGTATTCAACTTTCTGGTGTAAACAAGGCCCCAGTCAAAAGTATAGAGGCTTAATTTATTAGTGTTATGTGATCCTTTGCTTTCATTAGCATGAAATACTGGGTTTCATCATTGTGAAAAGGTGAGTGGAAAAACTAATTTGATGCTGTATGAAAAGAGCAGAGGTCAGTATGTTTGCTGGACACAACCTATAACTGGAGAAAACAGTTTCCAGGCCAAAGCTCCAATCCTTCAAACACGCACGTAGTTAACCTCTCTGCCAAGAGTAGTTCCTTAGATGAAAGGAACAAAGTTTTTAAATGCATGTTTGCCAGGTTCAGGGCCTTGGTTTGTACAGTTATTATATGTCTTAGTTCTGTCTCTCAGATGTAGAAGATAGCTTGCCAAAGGAAGTTTGAGAAAATACAGTCTGCGATCTTGCTGGAAAATTTAAATCCCATATAGAAAGGACCTATCAGATTAAACAGAATGTGGCCAAGCTTTTTTATAGGTGTGGAAGAATTTTAAAATATTATTTCTTTGTCTCTTTTTTTCCCCTTCTCACCCAGTTCTGACTTGGCATTTGATCTGGAAGGATATATTTTTATCCTGGTCAATGATGTCTTAACAGCTGCAAATGGAGCGTATGTAAAACAGAAGCTGGATTCAAAGGTAGGCTGACCCCTGTTCTCATTTTTTAAAATGTCACTATTTGTTGTAAAGTAACAGCTAATCTGTAACCCAACCACTGGTATAAATTTGAACACCATGTGAATGGAAGCCTAATTGTTCAGGACAGAACATGTTAATCTGTTCTGCTGCTCATATGGTGTGTTATTATGGTGTATATCTTTTATTTCCTGAAGAATTGTGTTCTGTCTTTAAACAGATCACACCTTATCACTTTCACATAAAGTAAGATTTTCTGCTGTTCCTCATTCTTGTCTTCTGAACAATATTTTATTGTTCTTAACTTGACACTTCTATTCTGTTGCCTGTAGCTTGAAATGAACCTTAATATTGATCGCATAAAACTGTAACAGCATGTTTGTTTGTATTGGCACCGTGGTCCCTAAGTAAAGTATTCAATTCAGCTAGTTAGCTGCAAAGTCAGGGTCCTCTAGAAAGAATTAATAATCTGGTTCTTTGTTAGGCTGTGAACTGCCATTCTTCTCCCTCCCCAGCCTCTCAAGGGCAGGAAGAAGCAACATGTGAGCCTGCTTTGTACTTTTTTTGCAGCCGAACCCAGGAATGTTGTGTCTGTGTAGATGCAGCTGCTTGGGTTTTTGTTTTGTTTTTTAGCATTGAGGCAGAGTTGCCTCAGCCTTAATGGGGGGTTGCAGGAATCTCTGGCCAAGTCCTTATGAAAAAATAGTTGTTAATTGTTAGTTGTTAATATTAAAAAATAGTTGTTTAGGCTACTCTGAAAGTACAAGGTGGAACTTGTTGGGGGTGTCCAGTTAGCGCTGTCCCTAGGGGTATGCGGGGCCCAGAGCATAGCAGCCTGTGCGGGGCCAGGGGAGTGGGGGTGACGA